AAAAATCATTGCAAGGATAATAGTCTGTCCATTAAAATGAGCCAGTTTTGTTTTGATTATGGTTTTAATTACATGACCACATGATCCCTCTGACATGTTTATAGTGATGAAGAGCATGGTAGGATACTGCCCTGCCTTAGTGGCCTGCTGCTGCATTCCACACCTTTCCATGAAGATGCCCTTCTCTCCAGGGACCCCTTGACTTTACATGTCTGCATGGACTGATGTTTGGACCTTTCCTTTACCAAGCTCCTCAGTTACCGAGGCTTTAACACTGTTGACACGTGGCCAGTGAGTTAAGAAAAAAGGATACTGGAACCGGCTCAGTAACCTAGTGGCCAAAGTCCTCACCTTGCATGCTCTGGGATCCCATATGGATGCTGGTTCTAATCTTGGCTGCCCTTCTTCCCATCCAGCTCCCTGTTTGGGCCCAGGAAAGCAGCCCAAAGTCTTGAGACCCTGCACCCTCATGGGAGACCCAGAGATGCTTCTGGCTTCTGACTTCTAGCTTTGAATTGGCTCAGCTCCGGCTGTGTGGCCACTTAAAGAGTGAACCAGAAGAATGAAAATCTTTCCCTCTGTCTCTCCTCCTTTCTGTATATGTGACTTTCCAAATAAATAAATAAAATCTTAAAAAAATAAAAGAACAGAGGGTGTTGTGCAGATCCCAAGTCTACACTGGATGCTTGGCAGTCCTACCAGCCATGTTGTAAAGTGAATATGTGCCCAGTTTGCAGTTGGGTAAACCTAAGTTCCATCAAGGTTAATGACACACCTACGTTCACATGGCAGGACTGTAGCTAGCTCTAACTTTGGGTCTCAACAAACCACAACTCTGGCACTGCAATGAACTTAAGCAACTGTGAACACTTCTCCTCCTACTTGAGGGACATGTGACAGGTTGAATCGATCCCCGGCTCGGCTAATTCCATGCTCATGCTCACCCATCAGACTCTTGGAATGATGATTATGTTGAACATTTACTACAGTAAAAAACAAAGACATTGCCCTTGCCTCAAGTAGAAATTCCAATGAAGTGCAGGAGAGTCACATAGGAAATTAGACATAACTTGATTGACATTTGCTGTGCAAGGGAGAGGCAGACTGTTTGCTTTGGAGCCCTGAGCCAGGTAACTGGAGGCAGGGACTTTTCAGTGGAGTATTGAAGCCCAAGCAGAACATGAAGGAGGTGAGAAAAAGCGAGGGAGGAATTGTGCTGCTCCTAGGATGATGAGCCTTAGTGTAAGTCCCCATGCTTTGAAGAAGCCTTAGTGGTCTACCCTTTCCTACACTGCGCTCTCTTTCTGAATGCGAGCTCATTCCAATGCTTCCTTTACCTCTAATTGAACACTTGGACTTAATTGATTATATATTAAGTTGGGGACTTGGGGGGCAGCATTCAGGCACAGGCTCATGTTGAGATTAATTTATTCTGGTAGTCTTACCGTTAGGTGATGCATCTGAGGGCCTCACTTGCGTGTTTAAAATAAAGCTGAGAGTCAGGGCAATCTAATTAGACGGCTTAACCCGGCACTCCGCTGTTCAGTCTTCACCAGGATCTCCTGCCTTGATGGTGACCAAAATAGATGAGTAAGTTAATCAAAGGCCTGATTCCATCGTCGCGCTCTGCAGCGTGGACGGGTGATTGCCAAGCTTCAGTCCAGGCATTTTCTCAGGGAAGAAGAAATAGGTTTCCCAGGCTGGGCTCTCCTTAAGTAACAGGTACTCACAGCACACTGGAGGGAATGGCTCTCCTTAGATGCCGAGGGAATGGCTCCTCAAGAAGCTGGCACCACAATAAGGACAATGTGGTTTGAGGAAAGAACTCAAACCTTTCCCTGGTCGATCAGAACTATAGCTCTGTGTGTTGCTTACTGTGGGATTGTAGAGGAACCCCTCACCTGCCTGTTTGTGCTGTCTGTCCGTCCAGCCAGCTAGCCACTCACCTGTTTTATATTTGTTATAGATAATGTACTGTGCTTTGAACTTGCCACTGCACATGTAGTATCTGTCCTTGTGTTCACAGTATGCTTCTGTTGATTGTGTGTGGAGGGCAGGAGGGGAGGAGGCGAATTCTGGGAGAAGTATCCCTGTACTGAATGTCACTATGCCTGCCACGTTTCTTTCCTCATGTGGCTACCTTCTTTGGAGTCCAGCAATTACTGGTCTCGGCCTATCCGCCCTTGGGGGTGGCAGCACCCCGTTTCCCTCCTCAGGTGCTGTGCAGCCTTCATTTCAACCCCCCAGTTCTGCACACACTCCAGCCAGAGCTCCCTGATCCTTTTATTGCTTGCTTGCCAATCAGCTGTCTGGGTCAGTGTGCTGTTTCTTCCGTATCCTACCTGACACAATGAGGTAGGCACTTGGAAGGAACATCCTGTTTATTCATGGCAGAAGCTCGGGATATCTCAACAAAGTTGCTGCAGTGTCATGGGAATTAGGTGACGGTCCTGGAGTCTGAATCCAGAGGCGTCCAAGCCAGAACCTGAAGGTTTGCGCTCTGCTGCCGTGCCAGAGTCTCTTATCTTCAAGAGAAAGTGATTAAAGAGACATCAGTAGTCACATTGAGGCAGGGGAATCCAGGAGGAAGATGGGGGCTTCTGTTTGCTGAGTGACTTTCAGGTTCCAGGCACCTGCCTCCCTCATCCCTTTCATGTTCATGGAGAAGACTTGGGCTTCCTGTGCATTTCCCAGGCAAAGAGGCAGAGGCTTAGAAAGATCAAACACCCCATGTAGACCTAGAGTCCAGAGTTTAGCTCCAACCTCCTCCCTAACGCACGCTGCCCAGGGACAAGGTGTCAGGGACCACAGGGCGTTGGTGAATCGTTTCCCGGTGGTGCATTCCCTTTCTTCTCATCAGAATTGTACTGATTGGAGCAAAGGACAAATGCATGACTGAGAATGTGGCACACATAAAATGATGATGATGAAAGCATCACGTGGCGTGGGAGCGGGAGCGGGGTGTGTCATGAGCTGTCACAGGAAGTCCTTCCTCCTTGGCGTTCCTGTTTTCCCATCATCACTGAAGCATGATCAGAGTGCGAAGAATGTAGCACAGTAGTTGTTGCTCACAGTGGAAAGCAGCGATTATTGAAATGCGTGTGTGTCTAGGAATGTGTGAGTAACTAACGCTCGTGTCCACATGGTCAGCGTTAGTGATTTTACGTTGTGTTTCTGTGTCTTCTTTTGCTCCATGCTCCTGTGTGAATCTGTTGATTTATGTCTTTAATTGGAAGGCAGAGAGAGAGAGGAGAGATCCCTCTTCCATTCTCTGGTTTACTCTCCAACTGACAGTTGTGGGGCTGGCCCAGGCCAAAGCTGTAACCCTGGAGCTCTTTCCCAGTCTCCCATGTGGGTGGCCAGGGCCCAAGATCCTTGCTTATTTTCTCCTTCTTTTCGCACACACGTGAGCATAGAGCTGGATTGGAAGTGCAACTTCTGGGATTCTGACTGGGACACTGGCTCACCCTGCTCCACTACAAACCTCCCTTTCCCCGCCCAAGATTGTTTATTTGAAAGGCAGAGTCAGAGTGACAAAGGGAGGGAGGGATAGCGAAGAGGAAGGAGAATGGGACGGTGTTTTCATGTTGTTTGATTATACTCATAGTGGTTTTCAGCAAAAGCAGCAATTTTACAGCTTGCTTTTTCCAACATTGTGTACAGATTTCTTTTTATTGCATCTTCATTTCCATTGTTGTCAGGCACCGCATAGACTGCTATGAGATAAAAAGTACATAGTGTTTTAGCTAACTGTTCAGTTTGGGAGTATTTTGGATGGTTGATAGTTATTTTACATCTAGCTGATGACCATCTTAGGGCTTAAGTTTTAAAACTTATTTTTAACCGATTTAAGAACAACATCTTTAAAATGTAGTTGAAGGGCAGAGGTGAATGCTGGCTTGGGTTGTGTCCTGACAAGGTGGCCATATTTCTCACGGAAGGCTTCTAGACTAACTGCTAATCTCCTGGAAGTAAGAGGTGTGCATCGTCTCCTGTGATGGCTCCCGACTGCAGCATGGGTGGAGCCTCTGCCCATCCCAATCCCCATAAATTGCCTTGCACTTGTGAACACTGCGGGCCTATGGGTTTGAAGTGCCATTTCCAGCCTGGCCTTGGGTTATGAGGTGGCCCCAAGGTGTGTGCCTTGCTGCCAGCCCTCTTACCTGTGTAGCAGGGATGGTCCCCTTATGTCCTTGTGAGTTACCATGGCAGAACCATGGGGTTTGTTCCTTTCTGCCTGTGTGAGTGTCCTCTAGGGCCGGCAGTTGAAGAGTGCTCTTGGATTATGAGCAGGATGCCCTTATGTGTTTATCTGAGAACAAAGTGAAGGGAGCCATCCTAAGGTGTTTGATTATAGCTTAAAAATGCAAATGACTAACTAAATAAAATAAACTTTATCAGTTCCACTAACTAGTAAGCATTTTAAAAGACTTGTTTCTTCGAAAGATGAGGTTACAGAAGAAGAAGAGAGAATTTTTTTCTTCTACTGGTTTACTCCTCAAATGGCCACAACTACCAGGACTGGACTGGGTCAGGCCAAAGCCAAGAGACCACACCTCCATCCTGGTCTCCCACTTGGCAGCAGTGGTCCGAGCCTAGAGTTGCCTTCCGCTGCCTTCACAGACATATTGTCAGGGGGGCTGGATGGGAAGGGGTAGCTGGGACTCAAACTAGCACTCACATGGGATGCTGTTTTCTACAGTAGTAATCTTTGAAGACACAGAAATGAAATACAACTTAAAGAAAGATACCTACCGTAGAAAAATTAGATACTGACTATAAAAAGTATATGCAGTGAAATTCAGTTTCTTTCTACTTTTGTCTTTTGTGTATTTTTATTTCTCCAATGAACCTACATAATTTTTGTAAGAACAAAAACGTACAATTATTTCATGACTGTTACTTTTTCCCTCTTTTGATTCAAATACATTAATGTGGTTTTTGCTTTTTTGCCCCTCCCCTCCTTTTTCCCAACCCCTTCTCCGTTCTGATCGCTCCAGTCTGAAGTTTCCTGGATCCCCAACAAGCATTACTCTGGGATCTACGGCCTCATGAAGCTCGTCCTGACCAAGACCCTTCCTGCCAACCTGGAGAGGGTCATCGTCCTGGACACAGACATCACCTTTGCCACCGACATCGCCGAGCTTTGGGCTGTGTTCCACAAGTTCAAAGGTAACGGTTGCCCACTGTTTCTGGGATATTTGTGGGCATCCGCATGCTAAGTACAATTGTATTTAGTAAAATTTAGTAAGATTGTATTTAGTAAAAGGAGGCGGTGAGAATGAAGTAGATCAGGCGTCACAAATGTCCTTGAGTCTCATTTCAACTCTGAGTTAAAAGATGCTGCAGTAGAACTGGGCGTTTGTTTGTGTGTCTTTGGTAAATGATGAGATCTGGTGAACGTCTCCCAGAGAAACCCGGTTTAGGATTCAGGAGAGTATCATCCATGTCTGTTTCCCAGGCAGATAATTGAACGTCGATGTACCTGTGTGGAGACATGCGTTTCTCTATGGTTTTCTGGTTCTTTTTTATTTTTTTCCAAATGATACTTTGATTGCAAAGAAAGCCTGTGAGCTAGTGAAGATGGTTATTGATTATAGAGTGTTGGAAAACGTTCTGAGAGCTTCTGCTTTCATCCAGCGTTGTGGTTGATCATTTGAAGGAGCTGTGTAAGCTTCACTTGCCTTCTACCCTAGCCAGTTTCCCTCTAGCTTCTATGGTAGTTCTTGTCCTTACCTTAAGAGTTATGAGAGTTTCTATGGGAAACTGGCACACCAGTAGGTATCTTTAAGATGGGTTAGGGCTAGATGTGGATACAAGGTAGCAGTAACAAGTGAGCATGAAGTTCATGCTGCTTCAGTGTCCCTTTCTCAGAGCTCTTCCTTATAATTGCTTTGTTTTAAAACCCTCTGTATTGGGCAAATATGATGAGAGATTTGGTAGTGAGATTATTACAATGTTTGCTTTCTTTCTTTCTGAAATTGCACTCATGTTTCTGTGTTTAAAATCCCTTCTGCCTCTTCTCTTAGCTCCTTATCCTAAGCAGGAGGAAATAACACTTAATGATTTTAAATCACAGCATTTTCATAAATCCCAGGGTATTCTGTTGATTTCTATTTCCATTCACAGATAGAAAGTGAATTCCTTGCCTCCTCATGCCACTGTCTGCTTCTTTTGGGTTCCTTTCCAGCACTGGGCTAATAGAGACCATCTGCAGTCCATCGTGGGAATGATTGCATGGGCTCTTGGACAAAAGTCTCTTTGGTCATCCACGCCCATCGTGGCTCTAACAAAGACTTCATTCATACTGTTGTTGTAAGGGAGAGCATCTCAGCTCCCTAACCTTTTCCTCATAGCATGCCAGAGACTCTGCTTTCACTTTATAAATAAACCAGCAGCAGCCTGAGAGATGCAGCTTTGGGCCCTGGTGTCAGAAATTGCACTGCGGTAGCTGGGAGATCACATGAATTCTGTCTCCACTAAGACATGGCACAGAGCTAGCAGGGTTCTCTAGCCAGCGGTGAGAGCGTCCATGCAGAGGCAGGTCCTTGAAGCACTTGTCGCTTCCCCTTGCTGGCCCAGAGGCCTGGCTTTGCGGGGCTGTGAGGTTTAAGTGCCCCTGGGAGCGGAGCTGAGTATATGGGGGAAGGTCAGGCGAGGGACAGGGAGCTGTGACAGCAAGGCACTGGGGTAATAGCCTGCATTCTGCTTGTGTGTTCTTTTCTTGGTTTATTCCTAGTGTTTTTTCAGGCCTCCAGTGCAGATGCACAGGTGAGTTCCGGGGTGCCTGAAGCCACTGAAAGCGTAGCACCTGCTGCCAAGAGCTCACAAAGCAGGCCGAGCACACGAGGGTTTTATCTAACAACAGCCAATGGGTAGAAAATGGCGGAGGTCTCCTCAAGCCCACCTTTCCTTTTCTGGGAAATTCTAGAACTGGAAAGAAAATCAGCAAGCCCCTGTCTCCTCCATTTGTCACTTTGCACAGAACTTTGTATGTGTGTGTGATTTTTCCCCCCTGTTTTCTAAATTGGAACTACTAGAAGTCAGGTGCTAGGATAGACTCATAATTCTAGAATGTTCCAGTTCAAGAGAGAATTCTGCCCTCCTACTTCTCATAAAGACAATTGCAGTTGACATCTTTCACTGCAGGGATTTTGAGTGACAGTGACAGATTCAGTCGTGTTCATTTCTCTGTCTTTACAACAGCTGGTGTTCTGGGGCTACCAGTGTGGCTCTGGCTTCCTGAGTATGCAGATTTAATTCCGTTATGGAGCTGTGAAATCCCCCGCCCTGCACCGAATGTTCTCACATGCAAGACCTAGTGGGAAGCCTTTATTAAGGGCTAGAACCGACCTCAGCTTCTGCCGCTGAGAGCTCTTGCAAACCTCTTATAGAGATGTCTGTGTGGGCCTTGACTCACCCTCAGTAACCTAGCCCTCTGTCCCCACACCAGTTAACTGCACATTCACCCAGCCTATGCCTACCGCCAAAGGACTGTCAGATCTATTCATTCTCCATAGGACTATGAAGCAGACCATTAATGGCTAGGCACAGGAGTCAGCCCCTAGAAGCAGGCTCTCGTTGGCCGCCAAATAGATTTGTAACTGTTGTGGATGCTACAAGAATAGAGTCCAAGCCCTACTTCTGTGAGTTTATGTCCGAATGGAGGGAGACAGACAGTAAACATAAACAAGTAAACTGCGTAGCATATTAAACAGTGATTAGTCCTGCAGGAGGCAATAGAGAAAGGAGAAATGGATGCCTCTGTGTGTATGGATGTCCTTGCTTTGATATTCAGACAGGGTAATAATGTCAGGGTGAGGGCATATTTAAGCTGAAGCATAAAGCTGAAAGAACAAGTGAAGGAGCAAGTGCCTGTGTAGGGGAAAGGCAGGCCAGTGTTCCAGGCACAAGGAACGAATGGTCTTTGCAAACCTTGCTGTGTACGTGCAAGTCATCATTGGGAGATGTGGGGATGGGGATGTGAGGAGTTGTGTCAGAACAGAACAGAGGAAGCAAAGGGCTAATGAGGTCACATCCCAGCAGCCATGCTCGGAGGGAAGCAAGAAGACTGCCTCTCCTTTCTGGAACTCAGGCGGCGGTTGGCAGGCTTCAGACAGACTTAAGTGTTTGGTGGGTCACTCTCGCTGCCCTCTTGAGAAGAGGATAAAGTGGTGAAGCCATTTAGGAGCCTGCTGCCCATCATCCAGGGCAGAGAGACAGAGCATTGGATGTCATAGAAGTCATCACCCACAGGGTTCATTTTAATGTTGACTGTCAGGATTTCTGTAACCTTGTCCAGGAGATTGAAAGACAGTGGAGTCAAGGACAACCCAAGGTGACTGAGGCTGAGAGGCCTTTGGGAAGCCCAGGAGGTGCGAGAATGGGAAGTGGGCAGGTGGGTGTGAGGCAGATTAAATGTGAGGTGCCAGCTGGCACCTGCAGAGAGAGGGTGAGCAGGCAAGTGGGGAAGCAAGTATCCGAAGCGAGAGTATATCTCTCTTATAAGTCACATGCTGCTTCGGTTCCTGGCCCTGCACATGGGAAAGTTAAATAAACTGGGCTTGAGAGAGGCCACATTTGCTTTTGCTGCTTGGAGAGCAACTGCCTAGCAAAGCTGTCACCCAGAGCTTTTGCTTTATCGTCTGTCCCCTGTCTACCAGCCTCACTCAGCCTCCCCTGGCCTGAAAAAGGAGCACAGTAGGGGATGTGCCTCTCCAGGAGGTAAGGTCTGCTCCTGAATCAGGTATAACGGCCCATTAAGAGTCACCTAGGACCCTAGGGTGTTTGAGTTTTCACTGTTAAAAAAAAAAAATAGAAGTAATGCCTGCCTATAGCCATTTGGGGAGAATGTTGCAAAAGCATAAATAATAAATATACACTCCGAATTTGGAGCGTTTAGGAGAAAGCATTGCTGAATATTCAAGATCGTATTTCTGAGTTATGAGTCCAAATGGAAACACAGTTCCGGCCCTCCAGCTTGTGCAGCTGAACTCCAGCCAGTGAGGTCACACCCGCCTCCTTCTGCAGTGGTCACAGCAATGGCAGGCCAGCAGGTGTCCTGCCAAGGCCTGGTCGGCTCATGGTGGCTAATTACAGCCAGCACTGAGAAGCACTTACTCAGTGCCAGCCACTCTGCTAAGCCCATCTTGGACAAACTGATTCGATTCCCACAACACAACACGAAGCGATTACTGCGAGTCTCCTATTTTAAGGATTCGGGAGCTGAAGCCCCAGGAGGCCAAGCAGCTAAGCTGGACTTTGGGTGAGGAGTGATTGTTTGAACTCAGCAAGTTGGACAGTCAGTCCTGTCTTCTTTTGCCTTGTACCGTATAACTTTCAAAAAGCAAAATCAGAGAACACATTATTGCATGAAGGGGGCTGAGGGTCTCAAGTAAAACACTTGAAAGTCCTCCGGCTAACCCATAAACCAGGGTGGGGACGACAAGCCCAGGTAGGCGGCAGATTCAGATGGCAACAGAGAGAAGGCAGAATCGGAGGCATCAACAGTGTGATTTTTCCAGAGTTTGGGAAAGGAAACCTCAGTCTCCACAAGGTAGCCAGTGAGCTTCCCAACAGTGAGGTTATAGTGGCTGTGGGCCCAGAGCCCTTTGCATGGCCATGGACACATCATGGAGCAACAGAAGAAGCTGGAGTGGTGGATCCCCTTCGGGATGGGCACGCATGTATGCGTGTGTGTGTGTGTTGTGTGTTGAAATGCTGGTGGAAACCTAATCCCTACGAGGATCCTTCTGGGGGACACGGTGAAAGGTGACGAGGTCCTGAGGACACCAGCCTTGCAGAGGGCACACAGCCCCCATGAACTGGAAAGGAAGCTGTCACTGCATGCCATAACTTCTGGCACCTTGCCTTTGTACATCCCAGTTTCCAAACCTGTGCGTGGTACCAGATACTTATAAATGACCCAGCCTTAGACATTTTGGTGAAGCTGCTAAAGGTCTACTGACTCCCCAGGCCTGAGTGACCCAGGCAACATGCTGACATGGTTTGTGAGAACAGCATTCAGTCAAGTGGGTCAGCCTTCCAGTATTGTGTTTGCTCTGAGCATGGTATTCTGTGCTCATGGTTTTAAAGATTTATTTTTATTATTTTTTTTTTTATTGGAAAGGCGGATATACAAAGAGGAGAGACAGAGAGGAAGATCTTCCGTC